TGCGGATTTTGCGATGGGAGGTGTTTATGCTCAAGAATTATGCTTGTGTATATGTGTGTGTGTGTGTGTGTGTGTGCGTAGGGATACGTGTGTAAGAGGAAAAGATGGAAGACGAGGACATGAGTGAGAAAGAGTAAAGAGAGGGCGCGCGTCGAGTCGCGCACAGAGACCACCACCGAAGCCCTCTGCTCTCTCTCTCCGGCGACGACGCATCGTTTTTGATCCGAATGAAGTACTTACCTACACCAACTTATATCACGGGAGGTTTTTCCTCCTTGGTGGCGTATGCAATCACCACGGAGGCTGTCTGAATAGTTGCTGACATGACCCGACCCGACCGACCCTTTGGCTTTGGCTTTGCCTCTCTCTGCCTTAGCCCAGCCGCGCCAGTACATTAGGTAGACTCGCCTTGCCTTACATATCTACCTACACTACAGACTCACGGGATGGACGGGTAGGTAGTAGGGCGAGATGGGATATGTACAGATACATGATGTCCGCAGTGCGCGAAGCGTGTTGGAGAGCGTCAGTACGTACTTTTGCGTTGCCGGTCTGCGACGGATCATTCCAATCCAAGCAAATGTCTTTGGGGGACCACCACCACTACCACGGCCACCACCCACCGATCTCCCATCAACTGGACCTAACGCTCAGAAGCCGGTGGTGCACATGCTCCACTCTACTGCGTACATGCCTACCTGCCTACGGAGTACCTACCAAACCTAACGCACCTGGGCTGGGTCCCCCCCATTCCTTTTCGGCAGGTGCTGGTGAAGCAGAATAATCCCAGCTTTCGGCGCCGGATCAACGTCGGGTTACCTTTTTGACGACATGCGACCCCCTCGTGACCTATCCTAACAAACTGAACGATTCCACGGAACAGACACTGAGAGAGAAGCACCGTCTATGACATTGTCCTAGTTGTAACTGGACAAGCACTTCCTACCTTTGCTTATCTAGCAACCCCTAAATGCTACCGGCCACGACCTTCTTGTGCCGAGCATCTGCCAGATCAATCAGGAACCCCGCCATCGCAGCCGTCACCGTCACCGTCCTTCGACGACCCCTCCAGACCCGAGCTCGATTCTCAACGTCCACCGGCACAATGGCTCCCCCTGCTGCCGCCCTCGACTTTGTCGACTTTGTCAACGCATCTCCTACTCGTAAGCACCCATTGACATGTTGTTTGCGGCCGTGGACGGTTTCTTTGTCTTCTACCTTTACCCCAGCAACAGCAGCAGCAGCAGCAGCAGAAGCAGCAGCAGAAGCCAGCTAACCGTGCCCCTCGCCCGCAGCCTACCACGCCTGCGCGACCGCCGCCATCCGCCTCGAAAAGGCCGGCTTCACAAAGATCAAGGAGCGCGACTCGTGGAACTCGGCGCTGCGACCGGGAGGGAAATACTACCTCACCCGCAATGGCTCGTCCATCGTCGCCTTCGCCATCGGCAAGAAGTGGAAGCCGGGCAACCCCGTCGCCATGATTGGCGCCCACACCGACTCGCCGACCCTGCGCATCAAGCCCGTCTCCAAGAAGAGCAACGTCGGCTTCATGCAGGTCGGCGTCGAGACCTACGGCGGCGGCATCTGGCACAGCTGGTTTGACCGCGACCTCAGCATCGCGGGGCGCGTCCTCGTCAAGGACGCCGAGGGCAACTTTGTCCAGAAGCTCATCAAGGTCGATAAGCCGCTGCTGCGAATCCCGACGCTCGCTATCCACCTCGACCGGAGTTCTACCTTTGACCCGAACAAGGAGAACGAGCTGTTCCCCATTGCCGGACTGGCTACGGCGGAGCTGAACAAGGGCAGCGCCAAGCCTGAGGGCGACGAGGCCGAGGAGGACTTCAAGCCACTCAAGGCCATGACGGAGCGTCACCACCCTCACATTCTCGACGTCATTGCCTCCCACGCCGAGGTCGAGCCCGAGGCCGTCATCGACTTCGAGCTCGTCCTCTACGACGTGCAAAAGTCCTGCCTCGGTGGCCTCAACGACGAGTTCATCTTCTCGGCCCGCCTCGACAACCTCAACATGACGTACTGCTCCATCGAGGGCCTCATCGCCTCGGTCCGCGCCGCCGACGTGCTCGAAAACGACTCCACCATCCGCCTCGTGACCTGCTTCGACCACGAGGAAATCGGCTCCACCTCGGCCCACGGCGCCAACTCGAACCTCCTCCCCGCGGTCCTGCGCCGCCTCGCCTCCCTCCCGGGCAGCCGCGACACGGCCTCGGACGGGTCGTACGTGGCCGTATCCTCCCACGATGGCGGGGACTACGAGTCAACGGCCTACGAGCAGACGCTCTCGCGGTCCTTCCTGGTGTCGGCCGACATGGCGCACTCGGTGCACCCCAACTACGCGGGCAAGTACGAGTCCTCGCACCAGCCGGCCATGAACGGCGGCACGGTGATCAAGGTCAACGCCAACCAGCGCTACGCGACCAACTCGCCCGGCATCGTGCTGCTGCAGGAGTGCGCGCGCCTCGCGGGCGTTCCTCTGCAGCTGTTCGTCGTGCGCAACGACTCGCCGTGCGGGAGCACCATCGGCCCCATGCTCAGCGCCAAGCTCGGCGTGAGGACGCTGGATCTGGGTAACCCGCAGTTGAGTATGCACTCTATTCGCGAGACGGGCGGTAGCGCGGACGTGGAGCACGCTATTAAGCTGTTTGAGAGCTTTTATGAGCGGTTTGGGGAGTTGGAGGAGAAGATTCTTGTTGATTAAGCAGTCTCCGTTTGGGGGGGACGCCAACTGAGGTCATTTCGGTCATTAGCTTGGCTTTGACGAGGCGGGCGTGGTTGTAGTCGGTTTGTAGTTGTAGTAGCGAGTTGTCTTGGAGTTGTTTGGGTGATTGGAACGAAATACAAATGTTAATTGAGTAAAGATGATCTCATCTCACCGGTGCTACCTTGGGGATTGTGCTCCTTCAAGAGATATGAGAGTGAACATGATGAGTGAAAAATAAGAGATTTCGTATAGTATGGCGTTCTTGCTTTTCGAAAAGGGTGGTTGAGATGAAAGGAGGAAAGAGGTACTTGACTGGCTGGATGACTGGTCGTTCCTTCCTACTCCCATCTTATCTACGGATGGGATCTCTGATGGGATCTCTAATGGGACCCTGACGGCTCCGCTGGCTTTTTTGCTCGCAGCCTCCCTATATTTTTCTCGTCTACTACTTTGTCTTCTCTGCGAGGTCATGCAAGCGTTCACCTTTCAAAATCGCGACCAACCTCGACCTGAATCTTACTCAACAAACCCGACTTCGCCTCGAACGCAGCATATGCTCAACATATGCTCACCCGACTACATCGAACCCAGGCCATCGACTTGAAGTCCTGATTTGAGTTCCAGGGCACCAGAGCATTGTCTTTCTTGGAACAATTCTGGAACGCCTGCTCGCGATTTCGAGATTTCAACTGCGGCAGCGTTGAAGCTCTCACGATACAGTTGAGTTCTCACGAAAGGTTCGTTGGTACTTTTTTTTTTGTGTCTTCTTCTCAGCCCTTCGTTCATCTTCGCTTTCGTCTCTACCTTTCACGATTCGAGATTGAGGCATATTCTCCGCTGGCGACTGTACTGGAAGAATGTCTTCTTCGCACTCTGACGATTTTCCTCGCTCCTAACTCGACTAAACATACCTCATACCTCTCAGAGGACTACAAATACTTTCCTCTTCCTCCTCTCACACCTCCTAACTTTCACCTTCCTCACTCTCACCATCACCACTATATCCTTCCACTGCCTGGTACGATATCCCATAAACTTGACAGAGGACTAGAAATATCTTCCTCTGCCTTCGGGCCTCTTTCTCCAATCCTCTCACCAACCACACCGATTCATTTCGCTGTCTGGTATTACATCTCGTACCTTTCACCTACCTAGACCATCGCCAGGTCATCCCGGACTGCGAATCACTTTCTAGACGCTGACCTCACTCTTATATCAGACCTTCTGGCGACAAAATCAAACATCTTCTCAGGGAAGAGCGTCTGAATCGATTTCTTCAACCGACACCTCTCCTTCGGTGAGCATCAAAACCGCTTTTATTTTCAAGACTTCTGCCACACCTGCCCTAGAACAACACCACTCTACAGAATTTGAGATCCTGGCAGAACTGTCCCTCGCAATACTGAACTTCTTCATGCGATCGACCAGTTCATAGCTGACTTTGATATACCTAGAAAGACAAGCAAAGCTCGAGTTACCCTGCACTGTGGTGAGTTTTTGCTCCGTACTCGCACTTTCCCCGTTCCCTCCCTGAGGTTCCACCTTCACCTTCACTTTCTATATTCCAAGCACCCTCCAAATCCAATCCCGTTTCCCTTCATGTTCACCAACATTTCGTTGATAAGGTGTCCTTTCTTCTCGGCAAAGACTCCTAGCTCCTGACCTATCAGCCTTGCTAAGCACTGCAGTCACGGTCGTCCAAAAGATTCGTCCTCCCCAACACGTGGCTTACAGAACCTTAATATCCAGCTCCAGCTTACCCTACAAAACACCTCACTCACGAGAGCCTGAACAACCCACATTCTAACAGAATCTGAAACGGCAGCTTCCGAAAGGAAATATCGATCTCGCCTTCCATCGATCAGAACTAGAAGCGGAAGAAATCCCGGCACCTTTCTTGACCTTCAACCTCTTCTTGTACACCCACTCCAAGTCAAAGGACAGCTACAATACCTTCGAAATCGCCCTTGGCCTCTTGAAGATAATCACCGGCCCCTCTTAATTCAATACCCTCACTCCTACGGTTGACTGTCTTTTCAAAGGTCCTTTTAAGCTATTCACAGAAGTCGATCTTACGGACCTCACGATACAACCCCCGCTTCCTATCAAAGTCGTAAATTCGATCTTTGACCTAGACAAAGACGATCGCCAATACATCATCACGCATATACCACCATACAACCAAGACTACATTGAAGAAGATCAGGTATGATCCCACATTCGCCCTTGTGCTTTGGAGACAACCACTAACAAGTCATTTGAACCAGTCGTCGCAGCCAAGATGTGCCAGAAGGTCTTCTATACCTATGCGTGCCAGCACGTTGAGTGCGTCACCTATGACTGCAGCAAGAGTCGTGGTACCACAAGGTCTGGCTGCATGAAGCGTGAACCATCCGAGCACACCAATCTCAAGGATCAGATCTGCCACGACTGCAACGAGATAATCCGAAGCATAAGGCAGAATCGCCATGACAATCACCCCGACGGCAGAGGTCGATCGAGACACTGGGAGCATCGGATTCGCCATTACGAGCACCTCATGGACCGTGCTCAGACAATCTTGGATCAACAGCAGGCTTCCCAGGCTGAACAGAGGCAACAGTCGCAGCAGCCACAAACCCGCCCAGACCAGCAGTCTATCTCGCCCAGTGGCAAGACCATTCGCCCTCTGGAATCGAACAAGTTGTCCAACATAAAGCGCGATGAAACCTTTGGCCTTGTCCCCAACACGCTATACCAGCTCCATGTGGCCCAGGACGCCTGGTTTGCGATTCAGCGCAACCGAGATGACCTTTGAGAGAGGCTTGAACTCTCGACAGGATGGGCGTTGGTTTTTTGGAGGGGGCAGAATGGTGCCGCCAACGCGTTGTGCCAGCAAGGATCATTTGCACTTTCATTTGGAGATGAGAAAGGCACGTCTTGCTCAGCGCATCGAGTGATTTATAGAGAAGCTACCAGCGAATGCTTCCATTCATAGACCTATAGATAGAATTACCGACTTTATGGCGATCATAGCAACACAAGAATACGATGGTTGTTGTTCATTTTAAGCTTGAATAAGACATCCTCAATATGAAGGTAGACTGAAAGCTGCGGCAACAAAAGACGGCAGAAAGACATGATTAGGACAAAGTGGTTGATGAAATGAAGTTGTCCATCTTGGCGGCTCCGAGGAGCTGGTTCTGGAGAAAAGATGGGTAGAACTGATCAACACAGCCAATTAAGAAGAAGAAGAAGAAGAGCAGGGGTCTTTGGACCAGCCAACGAACCTCCCCAGTGCTCCCCCAGCTGACGAGAGCTGTGAGGTGACAGCTTTAGGTTGCCTGCCCCGTGCTCCAGCTGAGCTTACTTGCACTAAAACACACGTGGGGAGGTTCCATAGCAGAACCAGAGCTGAGGCAAACTGACGTTGCCCCCCCTAAACTAACTCGGCAAGGCCATCTGGCCAACTCTTTTTTTTCCGCATTCGTTCCGGCGTCATCATTCTCCAACATCACAGCTTCTCCTCCTCCAGCAGACGTTGTGCACCTGAATCTCAGTCGGCCATGGTTCTTTGACGATTGGAACGTGCACTCACCATATTCGAAGCCTCTTCCCTCACATCTCAGACCCATTTTCCAGCCATTTTGCAGGGAACGTCTCCCCACCAAGACCGCCGTCAGATTCGCCAGCCATGGCCTCCCCCTTCGAGACCGCGAAGCTCACCCTCGACTACCTCCCCTACGCCTGCGAATTCGACCCTCAAGATCCGAATCGGCTTCTCATCGGTGGAGGAGGTGGTGCCAACCGCAGCGGTGTCGCCAATAAGATTGTTCGTCAACCCCCAATCGCTCTTTCTCTCCCCCACATTCATCTGCCTTCTCATGCGACTGACCTTTTGCGCCGCAGACAGTAATCGACACCTCAGCCAAAGAAGAACTGCAAATCAGCGGCGAAGCCGACCTCAGCCGCAATGAGGACAGCGTCATGACCCTCGCCGCCGGGCCCAAGAAGGGCAGAACGAGCTACCTCTACGCCGGCATCAACTCGAGCCCCGAAGAAGTCGAAAAGGGCAAGAACGAGCACTTCCGCGCCTTTGGCATCGAGCAGAGCAAGGCGCGCGTCTCGGCTGGCGCAAACGCTCCTAGTGTGAGCCTGGCTGAGCTATCGCGCACCTCCATCTTTGCCCATAACGAGGTCGACAAGGATGCGTACCAGCGCGTCCTCCGGCTGTCTGCGCCGTACGGCGAGAAGCAGCTCGGTGTCGTGGCCACAGGACTGGCTAAGCAGTCACAGATTGCGATTTTTGAGATTGCAGCTGGGAATGCTACCAAGCCTAAGATCCTCGGACAGTTGGACGTCTCCAAGGAGCCCGTGGACGTGGATGTCATTCAGACTGGAGAGGACTCGTACCAAGTCGCGTACTGCGACGAGCGCGAGTTGTTCATCATCAATGTCGTCAAGTCTGAAATTGACGGGCCTCACCACGCCTATGAGATCAAAGAGGACGGTTCTGGCACCTGGCCCAACTTCCGGTCAATCCGGTACCTGTCGAAGGACTTCGTCTTGGCGGGCACTAACATTCCCAAGCGGGCTGGTGCAATCCTTTTGGGAATCAGACTGCCGCTCAAGGAGGACGAACCTGGACGCTTGGCGGCGACGGTCAAGCTGCCCAAGGCAGTGAACCAAATCACAACCATTGCTGCGCGGAACCTCACTCCTCCCTCGGCTCCTGGCGACAAGATTGGCAATGCGCAGTTCCTCGTCGCCGCGGTTGGCCAGGATCGGTCGATATCGCTCTTCACGCTCGAGCATAAGGCGCATTCGAGCATTGACTTGCTCGTCGACTTTGATCTGCTTACGACGTTGAAGGAAGTGCACCCTCTGCAGATCACAAACGTCGCCCTCTCCCACTACGTCCCGCCCAAGACTACCGCCCGCCCTCAGTATATCAAGCTGGCGAGTATCTCGATGAAGAACACCGTCATCGTGCACTCTATCCTTTTGAAGAAGTTCACCGACAGGGACGCCCCTATCCGCAAGGGCGGTCCGCCGCGCCCCCAGCGCTACGCCGTTGCCCTGCAGCCCCGCAAGTGGTCCAAGACCTGGCTCGCAGCGACGACGGTCCTCGTCCTCGTACTCGCTATCCTCTTCCAACTCGGCCTCGAAACCATGGGTGCAGTCCAACCGCGCATCCTTCCCGGCGGCGGCTCCGTCGCGAACATGCCCAACGAGTTCCTCACGTCTCTCATCGGCGACGTCCACGCTCTGCAGGGAGACCCCATCGTCATCCGCGAGGACGTCGTCAGCCCCACGCATATCGAAGAAGACCCCGTCCCTCGGTTCCAGGCCGCCGTGCACGACGAGGAGGTGTACGGTCCCGCCGTGAGCTGGGAGGACCTGGCGCCGCAGCAGAAGAAGCTTTGGAAGGAGAAGCTTTCCAAAGCGGGTCACTGGACGCAGAATATGGGCGAGAGCGTGTTCAAGGGTATCTTGTTTGGGGAGATTGCGGGGGCCGTGGGACGCGCTGTGGGAGGTCAATAAGGTACCCCGGGGCGTATGTCTGATGGGGAGGAGCCTAGGAGGGGCAATGAGGTATATTATAAGATGTGTTTACGGAAATGTCGTTGATATAACTTGTCCGGGAGGGCATGTACGATTTAATCACGAACTTGTACGATTTTATTGGAGAATGATCTTTTGGCAGACGAGAGGTTCCCTGTGTGAGGTTGATCATTTCTCTGAATGTGAGCTGACGTGATGACTCTTATTTAACCTCCCGCCATCAGAGTTTCTAGGGGTGTGTGTATTACCAGCATGACGAATGTTCCGGCTTGCAATGCTTCACTGGCCGTAGAAGATGCCTCGTCGGCGATGGCACGGCTAGATATCGGGTATTCTGCAAGATCCGACAGCTCCGTTCTGTCTATGGAGTTTCGGCTGCTTCTTGAGAGTGGTACTCTTCATGACGCCAACACGCTCTTTTGGACGAGAAGGATGAAAAGCCTCGAGTCCCTCAACTGTGTGCGCTCAGGGTCCGGTCCAGCGTCCATATCGGTAGGTTGCATACCGTTGGAAGATGAGGGTTTGTTAAACGTAGACATCGAATCTGTCTTTCTACTCGATTGATTTACGTTGGTAGTTGCGCTCTTGCAACTCCAACCTCCCTCACTTACCCTGACAAAATACGGGGTCCTTAATAACCTTACAAATGGATGAGTGGGTAAGCAACTATGAAAAGAGGTCATCATAGAATTTTTAGTCCTCTTTTGAGCGAACTAGGAAGAGTCCAAGGAAGCTGTTGATTGTTCCCACTTTAAGATCAGCCGCCTCAACTGCCTCGTTCTATCCAAGGACAATCTTCTGGTCCGATTGAAGCTGTCTACATGCGTTGGAACCCATCCACTCCCCCGGCATGTAATGAATATAAATAGACGTCTGTACATGAGGGCACACCCTCTCGAAAGGCAACCGCGAGTGAAATAAACAGGCGCCCGGCATCATCTTGGTCCTGCACAAACTCGTTCACGTTACTCTCACATGAATAGGAAAAGATCTCTAGCCAAAATTTCTTTCAGGGTTGGCCTGGTGGCTATGTTTCCGAACGAAGCAGCCGCGCGTTAGAGGTGAGAGCAGCAGGGACCGGCACGGCGGGCCTCGGCCCGGGCGCGGGTGCGGGCGCGGTCGCGGCGTTATCAAAAAACTGGTCGGGTTCTACTTTCCATCGCGCCTGCCGTCTCCCGGTCTTGTGTGTGGTTGTGTTCCTGGCTGTATACCCCCGAGAAAGGTTTTGCGAGTTCTTGGGTGGAAGATGGTTGGAAGGTAGGTTCCTTTTTCCCCCCTGAGGTGGTGATTGTAAAGAGATTGGGACACCGCGCCGATGACGTGGTCAGTTGCCTGAGTGCCCCGTGATGATGTACACAAGCATGGCGAACCACCTAATCTGGCTGGCCGGCTTCTGCTGCCGCCTCTGAGGAAAGGATTTCAACTTGCAGGGTAACTGATATCTTTATATACCTATTTCTATTCGAAATCCGGGTTGGTGTAGACTTGGATCTAGTTTAGCAGTGTGAGCTGGAGGAGAGATGGACATACTGCTGGCTGCCGAGACGTCGTGATGTCGGAATTGTGGTGAAGAAGTGAAGAACATGGGACTATGAGGCAGGGATGAGAGATTTCAAAATGGAAGAGACTAAGTTAAAGTAGTAAGAAAGAAAGTCAGTCATAGCAAAGAGCACTGTGCTGTTCAGACCGTCTATCTCGATTGTCGAACAGACTCTGGGTAGGAGCACATCAATTAGTCAAGAATGGTGCCGGAGAGCGCTCATGGTCATCTTTAGCACTCAGCCCCTTCATCGATCATTTGTGAGCTCCCACTACACTAATCTGCCCTCCTCAGAATCAGGCGATGGAATATCAGAAAGACGGCGAGTAAACCTCATACCTCGAATCGGATATGGAAAAATACACTCATCATCAAATGTCAAAGATGTATGGGGCGATGAAGAAGCGCAAGAGCACAAGACAGGACGAGGCTTTTTGGAAGACAGTACAGAAGAACGTATCAAACAAATTGATCGGTAGTCTTGCCGTCCTCTCAAACTCGCCATACTCGCTTTTTGGCTAGATAGGTGAGTGGGTAGATGGTATGTTTTTGGACAATCTTGCTTTGGCTGTACAATTGGATGCTCTGATACTCGAGCCACTTCATCACCATCCACTGTCATTCAATCACGCATGATCTAGAAGGTAGTGGAAGGCACATGGGAAGAGTATTTCATCTACTTTATCCGGTGTACTCAACATCCAGCCTGGCCT